AAGATGCATACTTGCAAGTGATGTTCATTTTCATTGAATAAGGTTTAGCTTTGAGGCACACATGTTCTTGATCATCATCACAGCTGCAGAGAACAGGATGATGTAGATTACAATCCTTACCTGGTTATTGTTCTGTTCCAATAAAGTCAATTTTTCCCATTCTTTTTCTTTAACGTCTTGCACCCTCTTGCTGACCTCTTGCTCCTGCAAAATAGAGACAAAATATTCCATTAATTGAAGCATACTTGTACAAGCACATATTACTTCATCACAACATAAGGAAATTGCAATAGTGGAAACTGCAATGGTACTCAAGTTGATTACAATATGACAAATACACACTGTCTTTTATCTCACATATTATAATATTAAGGGAAAAAAGGTGTTGGGTGCTAATCATCTTAATGGCAGCACGGGTGCTGAATTGCGAAAGACGCAGCTCAACGCACTCTCAAGTCGAAGTGCTATATTACAGACACATTTTACATACACTTACACATAGGCGTACTGCCCTTGACACAAGGGAGAGAATGAAAGAAACTCAAATCACATATGTCGCCCCGACCGAGATTCAAACAGGGTCCACAGAGTTGACAGGCCAGTGCTCTCACCGCTCACCGAATTTTCAAGTTGACTATCTTATATCACAGCAAAAAAGCATGACAAGTAGTACTGACCTTTTCTTCAAGGGAGGTGTTCAGATGATCAATGGTTCGTTCTAGTACTTGTATTTTGTTTTTRCAAGAGTCAATTTCTGCTTTAAGTTCATCTCTTTCCCTTTCTAAATCTCCTCTATTTTTTGTCAAACTGAAAATTACAAAAAATGGATAATGTGCGTGTTTGCAGAAAAATAAACAAAGTGACATTATTCATCAATTAGGCATAATGTGCAATAATAATCTCCCTGGCTAATTTATACAAGGAATACAATGTAGACTGTTCTGTTATGGTTAACATACCTCATTCTTAGATTACTGATTTCTACTTTATTTTTATGAGACATTTCTTCTAATTTACTGTGAATAATAGAAATAAATATCAATTATTTAATAAAAATACAATATTACACGTAGTTAAAACAAGTTGCATGGGAACCTGTGGTTTTGCACTGATTGAGGTAGCATTGGGCAACAACCAAAAATTAGTCCCTTTTATTTGCAACTTTTCGAAAATAATTTTTGTTGGTAAAAACGTTTTATGATTTTGGCAAGACTTGGCACTCTTACATGTATCCATTTATCATTGATGGCTGCAGCAAACAGCCTGATTTGGTGCTATTTTCAGTTAGAATCAGATTTTGATGATACAACTTGTTCACAAATTAGTATGTACAGTATAAATGACTGCATGGCAGTCACAGAGTTTAAAACTATCTTTTGTGACMTACTTTTTAGTGGACATGTGTTCTTTTTCTAGTTGGTGAATTTCAGATGTCAGCTGGTCCTAGTCAACAAATAACAAAATTACATGACAATAATATAAAAATAGAAAAGTTTAATATATCATTCAAAGTAATCAACAATTGAAAACCTAAAGAGCTCATCATTAAGCCAATACTGGATAAATAAGTTATTCTTTCTTCATACAACCAATAAGAATTAATTCTTAATTAAAATATATCAATAAATTTACCTGCAGTTCATTTCTCTTTTCCAGTTCGTTTTGCAAAGTTTTGCACTGTAGTTTCAAAGAATCTCTCTCTGTTTCAAGCCCTTTGCATGCAGATGTTAGCTCTGATAAYTGTCTTGCTTGGAGTCTGGTAACCTGGTGAATGCATAATATTTAACAATTGTGCAAAGTTTTGAGTTGTATGCTCTGTTATTGACAAACTCTTGATGTCATAAAATGCTCAATTCTCAAACTCAAGTGGACAAGTGTCAACAAGAGAACAATTAAAAAATTGTTTTTGTTTTATTAATTTATAATTGCATTTCAGTAAAAGAAATTTGTGATAACCACATGTTATGTTTTTAATGAAACTTGATATTGACAGGAAAAACATGAGTGGTAGCCATTAATGGTAGAACACGTCATCCAGTTAAAAGAATTACTAAAAAAACGTTATATGTCACAATARCTTACATGGTCTGACTGTAATCCAGCATTTTCTCTTTGCGATCTTATTTCTTCAAGCTCTGACAGCAGATTTTTCAGCTTCATATGCAGCTATACACAYAAAAATTGTTGGTATCCAATAATTGTACAATACTACATGTACATGCCCATTGAGTACATTTATTGACTAATCTATCCACTAGGATGATCATTTTGAACTCCTGATAGCTTTTTTATTTTATTTTGCTTTGGCTGTATGCATTCTTTTGCCTCTGTCTGCATTTATCCATCAATTCCCATAACCACTTATCCGTTCCATTCAACCAATAATCTCGCCCCACATACACACAAACACCCATCTATGAATCAGCCCCTACTACACGTCATGAACCTAGTAATGGCCCTAAATTAAGTATAGTGTGGTATACCTGTGTATTTTCTCTCTGCAGTGACCTGGCTCTAGTGGCATCAGTTGGACCATCCTGCTGCTGTTTTTGAAGTAACATRTCTCTCTCTTTTCTCAACGATGTGATTTCAAGTTCATACTGAGAATGGATTTCTTCTACAATTTGCTTGTGCTGYGTCTGTCTCACAAAAGTTATCACATCATACACAATAATTACACCAAATTGGAAGAATGTTGGGCAGGTTGCACAAAAAGCTAACACCAAAGGGGATGCATGTAGTGGTCAGACAATTGGATTATGTAATATGTTACAGTATAGCATTATTGGTAGAGAAGTAATTACTCTGTGCAGGCAATCTTATGGCACAGAAACACTGTAGTTTTACCCTGTCTCATAATATTTTTTTCCATGCTCCCATTTTGGTGTTAGCTTTGATGGTATATACTCTTGGAACTTGGCTATGTTTTTTCAATAACTAAGGTGAGTGAGACAAATAATAACTATAGCAAAATAAAAGAACAGCAATAGGCAAACATGTGTAATGGTGATGTATGATGTTTGTATAAATAGCAAATGTTGCTGTCAGTAGTATGGGACAACCTCAAACTGCCGACTAAGCTGCAAGTACTTGACAGTTATATACCTGTTCATGTTCATATTCTGACTTCAGGAAAGAATAATCATATCTAAGCTTGTTAAAATCACTGCAGACAGACAGACATACAAGTCAGTTAAAATAAATGGAAAGACAAAACCTGTCAACATCTTGCAATAACACAGTGAGTATGTACTTGGGAGTATACAGGAATACACTACTTCTTACATCAAATAATTCATTATTGAAAGGTAATTATCATGATATTGATTATTCTTTAACATTGTCAAATGATAATTATTTGTTCAATGGATTTCACCTTCTGTAGSTGTTAACCTCTGTCTCCATGAGTTGTAATCTCTACAAGACAACAAAATATACAATCAAGTATTAAATAGCTGAAAACATAGATCACATAATTCATTTACCAATCTCTACTCTATCCAATAATAAAATTAATTAATTGAACAATCAATAAGTTACATCTTTCATCAATTACATGTAATAGACCAATCCCGCATTCGCCTGGATGAACACGGAACAATGCCTCATTTCGAGGCTGGAGTTTTATCTTTTGTCGAAAACTCCAATCTCGAAATGAAGTGATTGTTTTGTGTTTATCCAAGCGAATGCGGGATTGGTCTATTAGCCAACCAACCAAACCTATCAACATGTATCACCAAATAAGTTGAAGGATAAAATATTCCTTGGCATGAATCAACCAGGAATACAGTTCATGAATCAACCAGGAATACAGYACCCACCTCACGATAAGGACCTTCAATCTCTTCCAGTAATTTAATTCTAATCATTTCTAGTTTATTAGGAGTGACCACCTTGAAAAGATGAAATAACTATTAATACACAATAAAATAACTTAAAATCATTATTGTGCATTACATTGTATTACAAAAAGAATTCAAAATATACAGTAATGTATATCATGTTGTTTATCCACAAGGCTATAGTGAAAATATAACAAATGAAAATTCACTTTACAAGTATTACAATATAAAGATTATTATAATACAAAATAATACCTTGAATATACAAGATTGCTGTCAGCCCAAAGAAAATAAAATAATTTTGTCATTTTTGTTTGTTGTCTGTATAATTAGAATACTATAATTGTACCTGAGTTTTGAGTTCTTCACATTCCTGGATTTTTGCATCTCTTTCTCCTCTGAGTTTCTTGACCATTTCTTGGAATTCAGCTTGTATCTTCTTAGCCTCCTCTCTTGCACCAACAATATCATTGTCTTTCCTCTGACATGCCTACATACATATTATACACATCAAATATATGCAAATTATTTACAAATATCTCAGCAGTGCATAGTTATTTTAATATTAACAATACCTTAATTTTCTTAATGAAGAATATGTCAAAATTGAAGGCTGTTGTTTTGTTCTTAAAAATACTATATCAAATTCTACTGCTACCTCCTTTTATAACTATTGAATAGTACTAAATTACAAATTCCAATTGTTGTCTATGCTCATTGCACAAGAGAGGTTAAAAAATAACAAATTTATATGTTGTACAATGTATAACAGACAGGTCTTTAAGTTTCAGTAAGATGTCATGTTTATAATCAATAAGTTATTTACAAATAATAATTATATATTCATTAATAGATGAATACATTTTATTGAATATCACCAACAAAAGAAATTTCACTACTTCAAAAAACTGTAAAAATTACTCATAAACATTTAGGCAGTTGTAAATGACTTTGTCCACTGACCACTGTCTGATATGTATGGTAATACAACAGGTCTTAAAGAGTTCTACTCACATCTTGTAGCTGTATATGCTCCACTTTAAGAGTCTCATATGTGGTTTTAAGCTTTTCAATTCTCATCCTCTGCTCAGCAACTACTGACTCAAGATTACCCATTCTCTCCAGCTTRTCTAGCATCTCAACGCTGTGATCTGCCTCCATGGTGACTTGTCTTGTTCTATTGAAATATTCATAATTACTGATCAGGTACATGTCAAAAGCAAAAATTATGAATTTGTTATCAAAAAAACGCGTCCTTTAATTCATAGTTGTTTATGTGAAAATGGAGTGAGATTGTTGCTAGGTCTCTAGATATTATTCAGATGTGGAAACATTTCAAATAATGTGCATTAATTATGAAATCTATAATCAACAAAACCTATCAAGCTAAGGAAACACAAACAATTTTTTTGTCTACTTCATTTCAAAGCTTAGAATCATGAATTAAAATATTCCACCAGAGAACATTATTTTTTTAATATGAAATACTACTTGTCCACGGATATAAATAAAGACAAGTTATTCACTTAGTGATGTTGCAACTGTAGTTTTCTAAAAAGCTGTATTACATGTCTGTTATCTGATATTAACACAGCAGGAGATATGGCCAATGAGAACAACACAAACATTAGTATTTCTGTTGGATCTCTTGTAAATACACCTTGACGTGCAAGCAGATATTTTATTATTTCTTCATCTTTATTCATGATTCAAATCGGAAATWTAGAAAGAAACTTTAAAAACTTATTTTAAATAGAGTTTAATAATTAATTTATGAAGCCAGAAACTATCATATCAAAATGATAATTTCTGGCAGCTACAGTACATCGTAAACTTAAGAATGGTATTAGTGTGCGAAATAGCATTAACTTACTTAAATAGCTGGAGCCTAGCTTTGTATAAAGACATTCCCCATTATAAACGAAGACATATTGCGAATAAAAACGGAATACTTTAAACATAACCCAGAAACAACGAATGGTTTGAGGTTTACACTTTGAGAAAACCGCATGGATTTTTCCTTGGACACATGCAAAGAATTTTAGGTAACACGAAAGATCTTGGAGGAATAGTTATTAGATATAAATACAAACAGTAATATAATATAAAGACAGTAGCTTATTTGTTTACATTGTCATTAGACTGTACAGTTTAATMAAAGCATTCGTTCGTGAAGGGTTGTTATAATAACGGTTACCGAAGCCATTGTTAGAGTTAAACCAAGAATTATGATACTCCTCACCTTAAAAATACTCTTGAATTTACTTCAAAACAATGCACAGTCACTCTGATAAGCTATGCCATACTTCAATAGCTATTTATCTCCAACCTAAGTGGATAAGACGCATWATTTCTTGATCTTTTACTCCAGCAATCACTCGCGTCCTTCGCAACAGCCCGCCATTTTGACCGCATGACGTCACATCGAATCTCCGCTGTCATTTCTCATTACGGGCGCGTCAATTTTTAAACAAAAGAAAGAAAAAGAAAAAAGACGCCGAAGAATAAGAAAAAAAAGAGAACAGAAGAAACTGGAAAATGGAAAATGGAAGAAAAAAAAACAACAAAAAAAGAGAGAGAGAAGAAACGAACTGAAGAGAAGGAATCTTTTTGTCTTTTTTCGCAACTTTTAATATTTTTCAATTTAATAGCATTAAGCTAATGCAGRCTCGATTATGGGCTTGATTTTATGTGTCTTATTAGCTGCAAYTATGGAATATTTCTATTGAAAAACTGATATTTTTTTCGTTCCCCAATTGAGCCCAAGCATGTGAAGCGCCTGAATAGATATCCGAATATTAACTGATCAGCTGTTTGAAAATATGTCATCAATAACAATTGAAAGGAAGAACGATAATAATTCGATGTCTTTAGTTAAATTGGAATAAATTCTACTTGTATACAAGGGACAGTCAGCACCGATCGGAACGATTCTCCTCATAGGTCCTCATAGGTCGAGAAAACAATACACAAACAATGGGTGAGTCTTYCAAAAGCTAAAAAACCTAAACTAACAATATACCTGCTGTGCTTAAGGAGCAATCAAAAAAGCAGGATTCGATCGGTGCTGTATGGAATGGGTATAAAATCGGCAGTCATAACAATTACACTGCCGGGTTTCGTTGATCTAGTAATGTTGGATGTTTTTTAAAAAACATTTAAAAATGTGTAAATCATGACGGCAACTCGAGACAAATATTTAATGAATAGATTTAGGATTTCAGAAAATGAAATTAGTAATTAAACGCTGTAAGTTTATTTTTATTTTTATTTGTTTTCAGAATGAATTCCATTCAGTATTCATAGTTCCTTTGTTGATTTATCATTCGATTTCTATATTTTATTTCTGTATGTGAAATCCCAAAAGCGGATTAGCCACTCTTATCACCCCCTCGATCCGCCCTCGTTGTGAGTTCGACTGACAAGAATAAATGAGATTTTTAGGCAGAAATGTTCTCATTAGCGATATGCAGTTTATAATCTGATATTAATTAATACCAAGCTGTTAATAACATACGCAAACTCATGACATGAAGCTTATCAATTTATATAGATTATATCGGACAGTTCTATCATTATTTATTTATATTTCTACACTAGATAATCCTTATTTGAACAAATTAGAATGGACAGTTAGAATACATAACAACATAATATATTGACATTGCTGATTTCATAAAATGAGGGTTTATTTTCTAATTGCTTGTCCCATATCCCTTCCTCCCTCTGCACTCCACGGCAGTTTTATAGTATAATTGGTTATGCATCAACGTGATTTTTTAAAGCTTTGATCATGATAATTTTTTCTGGCTGTGCCTATGCTCAATTTTAAATATCCTTCGAACGTTAGATTGAGATAATAATATTGCTGTAGTATTGAATTTGAATTGCGATGATTTTCGAAATGTCATTCTATAAATTCTTGGGAAAAAGCCAGTCCTCATGACTGAACCAATTCAGGTTGATTGTTGGGCTTCCTGCGTCGTTCTATGTTCCTGTGCTAATTTGTAACAGTTTGACCAAACTTAATAAAAGAAGAGTTGTAACAGATGCGATATAACCCACAAATAGTATTTCAGCTGCTTCACTTTGACGTTACCAAGCAACTCATGATCATCGAAGGCGCGTTTCAGCACATACTGAACTACGTCCTACATGACATACGTCATACCTACTCACCTTATATGCCATCTAACACATCGTGCGATTGATTACACCGGAAATTTCAAAAACTCTTGAGAGGAAAAATTAGGAATGGAAACRAATAGCGCCCAACTGGAAATATGAAATGGTGACCAGGACAGTAATTATTGTGTAGGCAAAGTTTTGACTTTGAACGGAACTTGGACAAGAACAATGAGTATGTATCTTAATGCATTTGATTTCAAGTTTCAGTGAACTTTTATTCATGTGAT